TACTGAAGTGATGCGGAGGAAAGACAAGTGTGTTTCAATAAAACAATCATGCAGACGGATGACAAAATTTTATTGCTGAGCATCCTACAAACGCAGGGGCTTGCCCGAGCGATCACACGCCACGACGGCATCACGCGATGACGTTCTCGTCCAAGGTGTGCGCGGGGCGCGAGCAGGCGCCGGCCGGGCAGCAGGCGGGGTAGGTGAGGGTGGGGTCGCCGTCCACCACGAAGCACGGCGGCTCCACGTCGATGGACGGGCAGCTGCAACAGCCGGCGCGCGGGGCGCGGGGCGCGTGGCGAGGAGGGCCGGCGCTAGCGGGCGGCGGGGGCGGCCTCGGCGCCGCACTGCACCCGCAGGCAGCAGTCCGGGAAGGCGGCGTGGGCGTCGCCGGGCGCCGCGCGGCACCCGGGGCTGTTGCTTATGGGGGGGCACCTGCGGGACAGCGCAGCCTCCGCCCTAGTCGCCGCCTTCCGCCCTGCTCCCTATTGCTATTCTATTCTATTCTATTCTATAATATTATTCCATTATATTATTCTAATTTATTGTTATATTGTATTATTCTATTCTATATTAAATATTATTATTATTAATAACAATAATAACAACAGTAATAATAATAATAATAATAATAATAAAATGTCATCTTTCTAGGTATACTCAATAAGTGTCATTCTCTTAATTAAATTCCTATTTTGCAAACGTTTCGAAACATGTGACCCCTACTTAGAACTATAGGCCAAATAATTACTTCAGAGGTAAGTTACAAGGATGAATAGTAATACATTATATATATACTTAGTTGTGGTTTTGTAACTAAGCTATGGAGGAGCAGAGAAATTATGTATCGCATAGCTCAGAAAAGGTAACCTCAAAGTTCTTAAACGTTGGAGAAACAGGTGTTCAATTAACAGATCAACACCCATTCCTAGAATTAGTAGCGTGGACGTGAATTCAAGAACTATTATTTATAATATTAATGTAATTAATACTATTTTTACTATCATCATCACTCTGTCTCTTCATAATGTGGTTACGAAATATGATTGTTTTGTTGTACATATATTGAAGCTCACCATTTATATTACTTTTAATAATGAAATAAATATAAGACAGAATAGAAAGGAACTGCCATATTCCACCGAGGTGTGTTAGTTAACAAAAATGTAATATTGACTTTCATAATTTTTCTGTGAGTAGTTATAATTGCCGAACTCAAGCCACTTCACCAAGTTCACGGTCTCTCGTGTTTAAGCACAATTGTCTTGCGTTACGTTCCCTAGTAATTGCCGCCTTAGAATAATGACTTGTTCCTCGCCTTCACTAAGAAATGTGTAGAAAGGGAGGTGCGTGACGCAGTGAAAACTATATGGAGATAAAAGGTGTTTTGGCAGACCGGCTATTGAAGTGCAAAGTAACTTCTTTTTTGTTCCAAACATGGCCAACAATTTTTATATACATGCCATTGTTATTTCACACACAAGGTCAACCACTACTAGCATGTTTTTATTTTTACTTTATTATGTTTTTTTTAATTATTGCTCGTATGTGGTTATAATACTACTTGTATTTCTACGAACTTCTCCGCCTGGAAGGGAGCAAGTGTTTCGTGAAGAGAAGCTCCTCGTAACTCCTTCCTGTGCGTATTGACTACATGCGGTCTTTACCTTTAGCTAACAAACACGTACCGATAGACATGTTACGTGAAACGAAGACGCAAGGCTGCGACCAGGATCCTCCATTCGAATGCATTAACGCGATGAAACCGCGGCTTACTTCTCGCACGACCTCCAAACATAGTACACGAAGCTTAAGCGTTCTTAGCGTTTGTTTACGTCCGTGGAGGGCGACTACAATGTTGATCCCCGCCCTAATGGATCCGCGTGGGGAATAACACAGCGCGGCGAGGCGCGCGCGGCGGGCGGTCTCGTCGGACAGGTGTTGCTGACGCCGCGCCCGCTGGGGAAGCCCTGCCGGCGGCCGGCTCGCGCCCGCGCCCGGGGCACGGAGGTCGCCGCGAAGGAGGATCGCGGCATGACGCACGTTTCTCCGATCACGACGCTCGCTCGCTCGTCCGGACGCTGCGTCCTAGCCTCCTATCGCCCGCCCGCCTGCTCCGCACGCCCAGCCCTCCTCCCTCTTGCCCTCGCC